CAGGCAGTTGCAGAGAGCGATGAGGGCTCCCCTCAGCCTCCTCTTCTCCAGGCTGAGCCCCCCCAGCTCCCCCAGCCGCTCCTCCCCAGCCTTGGGCTCCAGCCCCTGCCCCAGCCTCGCTGCCCTGCTCTGGCCACGCTCCAGCCCCTCCATGGCCGCCTTGGGGTGAGGGGCCCAGCGCTGAGCACAGCACTCGAGGGGCGGCCTCACCAGTGCCCAGCACAGGGGCACCATCACCTCCCTGCTCCTGCTGGCCACACCGTTCCTGATACAAGCCAGGATGGCATTGGCCTTCCATTGGCCTGATGCTGCACGTCAGGAGCTCAGCTCCCGCACAAGCAACTTTTTCCTGGCCTCCTGCGGAATTTGGTAGTCACAGATCTTATTTAGACTCTTTAGGCCACGAACTCCAAGCCATCTGTTTTAGAGATGGGTTCTGTATTAGCGGCGAGGATTGGGCTGAGAAGGGCGGATGAAATCAAATGACAGCTTTGCCGACGCTACACCTATCAAACAAGTTTCTCCTTTCTCCTCACAAAAGGCAAAATAAAAACCCGAGCTGGCCATGAGTCTTATTAACAATGCCAAAATTTTGAAATAAAGTCCGAGAACAAGTAGCCAGAAAACCACACCACGGCCTGCTACTTGTGTTTTAACCCTTCCCAGAGAGTTCTCAACATTTTACGTGGGCGACTTCACCAAATTATCTGTAATCTGATACTTTCTGTGTTCACTATATACAGCACGATCTGGTTTGCAGACAAAAGAGTTTCTCTGGGCTAAATGCCAAAAGTCTCAAGAAGTCTGGGAGACGCACCTTGGAAATGCTTTGCCTTACATGCAGCGTGACGAACAAAAATGCAAAATTCTGGGTTCTTTTATAGTAATTTTCTTGAGTAAATTAATGTCAAAACTTCCTGGCAAGGCTTTATTTTAATTTTTTATATCGGAACTTCATTCCCAGAATTCTTAAAAGTTTAATATACTGCCCAATACCACCCCTCCCAGCTGGTTTTGATAAAAGACTGAATTCCAGGGCGTGCTACTCTCTCTCACAATCTTTAAACACTTCGGAGCTTTTCACCCTGCTGGCTGTCAAGACACGGAGCTGCTCCCAGTGACTGCTGGCCAGTCACTACCAAATACTTAATCATCTTCACAAATAAAAAAATCAAATCCTATTTCAAGACTGATTTTGTACAACTTCAGCTTCCAGCAATTGAATTTCATGATATCTTTGTCAGTAAAGCTGTGAAGCTCTGACATTCGGATCTCCCCGTTTTTATTCTCCCAAGTAACTGAAAATCTATTTACAGCTGAGAAAAAAAATAAATCACCCTCACTCTACTTTCAGATACGGAGTTCAACTGGAGACTCGCACTGTAACGCCCGTTTTCTGCTCCCTGAATTGTTCTGTGGTCTTTCTGGTGATTATTTTAATTGCCTCGGTTGAATTTTCAAGTCATTGTTTACACCGAGGTGCTGTTCCTCCCGAGCTCTCAGATTAACGGGCTAAACATCACTACAAGATGTGCAAAATCCTCAGATTTCTCACAAAATATTACTGAACTAAACGGCAGTCCTGCCACTCAACCTGCATCCTCTCCCCTCTGTCCGTTATAGTCAAGGAAAATGTGGAAAAAAACAAAGGTGAAAGGCTTTCTTTGCACTAGGAATTGTTCGGTTAAGGCAGGTATTTGGCTTTTTGAAAAACACAGGAAGAGAAGTGCCCCAACAAGATCCCCACCTGGGAGGCTGCTCCCCGCAGTTACCCCACGGACGTTTCGGAGGAGTCTAAGTAAGAGCCCAGCCTAAGACTAAGACAGGCCATTGCATTTTTGTGATCTGCGCAAAGGCCAATCCCATTTGCGTTATTCCCATGGAATCTCACCGCCTAGAATGGGATTATCTGCATAAGTGAGGCAAACAGGATTTTACCACGTTCCTCAAAAGACAGACTGACTAGCCCCTTCAAAACCTACGCTGAAAGGCAACCCGCTTTAAGCCGTCGTATCAAAATGTCTTCAAAAACTTACGGAGGAGTCAGTGGGCAAGTCGGTGTCCCACTTGCGGCCTTTGAAATCCCCTCCTCTGTTCCACCGGAATGAACTCATGCACCCTCCCTGAGAAAGCTCTGAAAGCAACAAGATTTATTCAGTTACTGGGGATTGAAAGTATAGGAAAGTGGTATTTTATGCTCGTTTCAGGGGCTTCACGCATGCTTCCGGTGTACAAAATAGGAAAAGTTTGGCTAATGAAATGCTGGTAAAGATAATAATATTTGGAGGTAAATTTACAGGATAATTTTTATTTGTCGGTACTGAAGGGATTAAATCCAGTACTTTGCATCCCGAGCTACCCAGGAGGAAAATGGGAAATAAAGCTTTTAAAAAACATTCCCAAAGTTACATCCAAATCCCGCATCATTCCAGCGCTATAAAAAGGGAAAGTTGTGAAGAAACATCTCTCCTGCTTGAAAGCGGCTCTCATCCCTGCCACGGCTCTTCAACCATCTCCACCGAAGGAAGGAACGTCTGACACCACCGACGCTTGGCTGTGGTAACGGAGTTGGTTTAAAGTCGGGACAGTAACACCGGGTACCTTTGATCCTTTCGACCAAGTACTCCTGGTTCGGTGTAAGATCCAAATACTGCACTATAGCGTTCAGGGTTGGAATAAGCGGAGCTTTAACGAGCGCTGCCTGCTTCAGGCTGCTGATGCTGGCTTCTGCAACACAAGAAGAGCCGGCACATCAGCTGTGAGCACCACAGAACTCCCAGCAGCCTCCCTTACCCGCCGGCGCTACAAAGAGCTCTCCTTTGCGGTGCGCCATTTCAAGTCCGAGAAGCATTTACCACGCGACACTACCCTAAAAACTCATTTCAGTTCCAATGAAGCAGTAGCTGTCTGCTTTATGTCACAGAATGTAAAAGCTACAAGGAACCAACATCCACTTTGAAGAGCAGAGGGAGAGTAACGAGGCGGGGATGAGGCCAGCACTGACCAGTTTTGCCACAGGCAGCCCAACGGAGGCGGCTCTTGAGGAGGCACAAACAGCCCGCAAAAGGTGGGTTTATTTTAAATGCAGCACATCAAATCCGCTTCTTGCTTAGGGGGATATGAATTTGAAGCAACAAGAGAAGCAGTTGCTTCAGAATTGTATTGTGACGTGAAAAACAGAACTCCGGTTCATCAGAATTTTAAAAAATAGCTCTTTCAGGAAGCAGCTGATTTTAAGGAATAATTTGGAAAAGCACACAGGACTGGAGACACTGCGAGTTTATAGCACAGCTACCCTTGACATGTTTTCTGACAGTGTAATATGCAATAATCAATGATAATTTGAGCCTGTAATTCCCCAGCAGTAAGTTTAGGGAACAAAAACAAACAAACAAACAAACAAACAAGAACAGAACAACAAAGCTGCTGTCGCATCCTACCTCCGATCTGCAGCTCTGGACACCCCATTCTCCTCAGCTGAGTGCTCACTGACTCGATCTCTTGGACAAGTGGCACTAGAATAGTCTCATTAATCCACTGGGAATGAAAAACGTGAAAATTCAAGAGGTCAGAAGCAACAAAAAGGTTAAAAAACCCCAATCTTTAGCTTATGCCCTACTCATCATCGCCATTACAATCACAAAGAAGCTTAACAACAGAAACACTGAAGCCAACCAAGGAGGAAAGTAATTAAATTAGAATATCAAGTTAGGCGGAGATTAAATGACTCTTTAACACCTTCTAAAAAGCCAGAAAATTCAAGGTAAAGGAGTCAGGAAAACAAATCTCTAGGAAGTATCAGATAGCGCTTGTCTGAACAATGAGGAAAGGGGTATTATGAAGCACAGCCCTCCATCGATAAAGATAATTTAGACTTTGACCAGTCCACTCCCTCTCACATTTGTTTCGGGAAATCAAGGAGCTGATAAACGCTACGTGTGGGATTTGTACGTGACGGGATTTGGGAACGGAAGCAAGCTGGCCCTAGGTTTACGAACAGATGCTCAGGAATCTGGTATGGATCTCATCCTAATCTTTGCTTTTCACCAATCTTATTGCTTCAAAAAAAAAAAACAAACAGAAAACACACAAGCAAACCTACATACTTGATAGATGCTATGACTGAAGGGGCAATTCAAAGTCAGATTTACTAATTATTTTGCCATTGTGTGCAATTAAGTCTCCTCTGCTACAGCAATTCCTGTTGACAAGACCAAAGTTTTTCTTTTTTTGCTTTTTATCACGCTGTTCAGGACTGTCAGAAAAAGTCAGCCTTTGGCTCGGAATTTTCCATGCTCTGAGCCCAGGAGAATGAGTTAGAAATACTGCAGCAACACCCATTTAGCAATCCGAGCTCCAGCAAGAAAAACCAAATCTTGTCATATCCGAGATGCTTTTGTTTCTCATTCAAAGGTGGAGGAACTTTACAACTGTGACATTTTCAGAATACAAACCACCGAGGTCAGGTTGAAAACGCATCTCGGCCGTCCTCTCTTAAAGCACGCTGTGTTTTTATCTCCTTGGGCCGGCCCACCCCAATCCTCACACAGACGGTGCAACTCTTCCCACCTCCTTTGGCACACAGGGGACGTGGAGGTGCTTTTCCGCTCTGCCGTGCTCGTTCTTAAAAACCAGTTCTTAGAATCGGGACTTACGTTTCTGAACTTAGCGGTCCAGGAATCCATGTGATCGAGGAGCTGTCGGTTCATTGTCACCCGTGCCCAAACCTACGGAAAGGTTTATTGAGTACATATAACAACTTAACAGAACACCAAGAGTTTTTAAGGTCTACGACAATTTCTGACGCTAACTGGAGCACGTAATTCAAATTGCATTTTTCCCCAAATTCTTATACGCCTGCTGGCTGTCCCAAGTGACTTCTACAGCAGCTTCACCTACGACACTCCCGCTCTCTACTCATGGTACAACCATCTTGCGTGAGCCCAAATTCAGTTTTACGCTCTCTGCTCTACTTGGATAAAATCGGTCTGAGTTGTAGGTTCGATGTAAGAGGTATCTGGATGGGAAGCTTCACTAGGTTAATGTAGAAAGTAAAGAAAATGGATCAAATTTAATTGAAGCCACATGAATTTTATTCCTTCGCATCAGACTTCTTTCAGACGCGAGCGCAAAGGCAGTGCTTCATTCCCTTCAGCTGTTCCACTGCGTTAAGTAACGGAGCAGTTTCAACTCAACTTTTATGTGACAAATGTGTTTTATCCGGTGTAAGCCTTGCTCTCCGAGGGAGAAATCATTTTCCAACTACAATTCCGAATTTGAAATCTCCATTTACAGTGACAAGGAGTCTTGGCAAGCTGTGTGAAGACGGTTAAATGCTAGAGGATTTCTCTCTCCAACGTTTTTGATACAGCTCAAATCCGAGCCTTTGCACAAAGCTGTATATTTTAGAGGCCTGCTTCTCCCTCTTGACCACCTTGCTGCCAAATTTACCTCTTCCGCAGCCTGTTTCGAGCTCAGATCAGCTTCGTCCTTGTGTGCTGATGGAGCCTGGGACCTGCAAGCCAGCTGATACTGGAACTTTCTCAGCATCTGTGCGTAGTCTGCCATGGAACGGCTGTAGTTCCAAAAAGTTGGGCTGCTGGAAGGAGAGCTGGAATCTGAACTCCCTGAAACGATTCATTCATTAAACAGGCACATACAATTATTGCCAAGTAATTCTGGAAGCAACAGTACAGGCAATACGTCCGTACGTTAAGGCTTTGACAAGAGACACGAACTGCCATGAGTACACATGCTGAAGTCAGTCTGCACAAACGGTCATTTCACCCTTATCGCAATTGTCCCTCTCCAGGACAAAAACCGCCTGCAGGTAATTCACCCCCTTTATCCGAAACGCCTTCCCCACAAGATATCCCGCTCCTTAAGGTGATAAAGCTCCTCGTTATCATGGCCCATTACAGCCAACAAATGCTCCAGAGACCATCTATCAGCACACATTTCCACGTGCTGCAACACCAGCATATATCCTACCCAAAGGAATATTCTGGAGGAAAACTTTCTGAAGCTCCTAAGCCGTGGAGACGTGTAGAAATGATGGCGTCCGACCTCACGTCCTGATTATCCAGCAGAAGACTAAACTAGTCAGCAGCCGCCTTTACCAAGCTCACAGGGCATCACCATAAACGAGTTAGGTCTCTTGGCTATCACGAGTACGCTGGAATCCCTTGCAACTTTTCTCATCCGCAAAAGAACTCTCAAATAAAACCAACATCATCTTCTTACCAAGTTTTTTCAGATCAAAACTGTTTACTTACCCAGCTGAACTCTGTGCTGTTTCTCTTCTTCATTTCGAAGGAAGGTGTCCAGTGACTTGAGGTCTGTCATGTAGTCTTCTTTGCCGGTAGGAGAATTATACAGAATGGGGGAAGAGTACGGTGATCCACTGGGAGAGGGGCTGAAGCTGGGAACCTTGGGCAAATAAAAACAAACGGTTGTGTCATATGAGGAAGACGGAATTCCACCTTGATTTGTAAATGACATGAAAAAAAGACTCTGGATTGGGGTTTGGGTTGGGTTTTTTTCTCCTTTGTATTTACGTTTTGGTTTCTTATTTTTGCTTTGTTCTGAAACAAAGTAGCCACTCGGGGAAAAAGGACAAATCCCAACACGACAAATTTACATCTCCTTTGCAAAAAGAGCAAACACACATGTACACAACTCTCCGCTGGCTGCTGCTCACCTTCGATGGCCTGCGGCACAACACAAGGACCAAGCTGTACCCTGGGAAGCTGCCTTGGGCATTACCTTATTGTAGCTGCTGCTGGGTGAATGGGCTACAGCACTGCCGTAAGAAGCGCTGCTGCTTGACAGAGCCTGGAGCTGAGGGCTGTAGCCTGCGATACAACCGGTAGTAAACTTTGGACTGGCGCTAGGGGAGCGGGATGGGCTGTAACTCAGCACGCTTTGACCCTGGATCGGAGGAGAAGGTGTCGAAGACGGGGCCTTCTTTGCTGCCAGCTCACGCGGTGGAGTTGTTTGTACAGCTGCAATAAGGAAAAAGAGAATTAGCATTGTGGGTGCAGCAGCCCCAAACTCTCCTCGCCCCTTTAAACGCAAAACAAAAGGCATACACAACGCTAACTTAAGGCGATTTTAAAAAGATGCTGGAAGGGACGCTAGGGAAATCTGGCCCCTACAGAACTCAGCAGCCAATCCAGTGATGGGAAAAAAACGAGGAGACTGAGACACACGACCACAACTCAGCACAACTCCTACAGCTTCAGATGTCAGTTAAATGTTACCAGGGACCTCGCGTAACCCCGGGGGCTTGTTTAACCTATTTCAGCTACTCTACCTCCCTACTTCATGCATCTTTAGTGTACTGAATGTCTTAATTCATCTGTGCAAATAAAACATATGAGATCCTTGAGCTTCGGTGATACAGCATTACTCCGGTCTGCTTCCCGTTTTCAAGGGGCAGACTAGCAGTGTCTCATACCACTCTGCTAGCATTTTGCTTTTGGTTTATTTACCTCGTCAGGTTCTGCTGTATTTTAAAACTTTGCTTTGATGTTCAAGAGCTTTCTGAGCGGCTGCTCTCTGGGCTGTCATTTTCAGACTTCACAGGAAGGTCTGTCTGTCCCTCTAATTTGGTCCTCGTTACCCAGCGTGATACTAGTCGGATATCAAAACTAAATATAAACCTGCGCTCTCTGCCTTGCTCCCAGTCCCCTGTGTAGGTTACAAATTCCTCGTCCAGCCTCACAATGTTCCAGTCTCTCGCTGTCCTTCAGCAGCCGCTATCATCCTGTCCTTTTCTACCACGCGTGTTTGTTTCCCCCTCCAGTTCTCCCCACAAACACTCATCAAATTACCACTTGATGGCGTGAATTTTAATACGCTGCAGGTAATTTAGTTTACTGCTCATGTCAGATGAGGTAATTCAGAACTCACTTCGCTGAAGAATCCTGTCGTTGAGAAAGATACCGTCTCGAAACAAACAAACAAACAAAAGAAACAAAAAGATGGGTATTTCTTACACCCACCTGCATTCTGCAGCCCCAGCAGGGTCTGCTGGCCGGGACTCATGACCAAGCTCGTCGGTGCCACTGTGTATTTGAAGTACCTCCAGAAATCAAATAAGGCATTCAGGCTGAACAGAGAGGCTAGTGCGAGTTCTAGAAGAAACACAGGAGTTTCTACCATAGCTTGAGCGTGAGGAATAATAAAAGTATATTAGCTGCAAAAACAGGCATATGCCCATTAAAAACAGGTGATTATTAGTGCTATCAATAAGTACCAATTTGGGCAATATCTAAGATTTCTTCACCTTCTTATGCAAGAACCATTAAAGATCATTTTCCTTGTTATTTTGAGATTAATTGATATTGCTAACATTTAATTTTTAAAAACAGATGGTTATTTTCCAAAAAGGACATAAACTATGGCAATGAAGTTTCACAGCATTTCTCAAACTTCATCTTCTGTCAATCATCTGGCACTCGTGATTTTTCTCTCCCTCTGGCTCCTTTTCATCCTCTCTTTGATACAGCTAGCTTAGAGTCTACTCATCTGAAACAAACTTTCATTACTGTGAAATGCCATCCACACCCACAGTACAACAGAGTGGTAAAATCTGCAGTGTTCTCCAAAACCTTAGGCCACGCATTAACCAGATTTAATGCACCAAACAAGTTCTTCATGCCCTTTAGCGATATATTTAGGAAAGCCGTTAACACTCCTTCCCTGTTACTAAAACAGATGAAATTCCAAGTGTCAGGGGAGATAACAGGAAGTTTTAAATTTCAAACAAACAAACAAACAAAACCCAAGGAAAAAAAAAAAAAAGGCTGGTTTAAAAACTACCTCTTCGGCAATAAAACTGACAAGTGAAAAGAAGAAAGAATCCTAAAAATTAATTGAAATGCTGCAGCGACTCACCAATATACCAGAGCGGCCAGTATGTGATGTTGTAATATGAGCTTATGAGTTTTCCACTCCTGAAAAGAAAAACAAGAAGTTCTCATTTTACAACCATTCAGTCCTGGGAAATATTTAGGGATATAAAAAATAGGATGCTCTGCTTGTTCGAATCAGATGTAACAATTAACGTACATCTCAGTATATATCATGCCTGCAACGGACACGTTAAGGAGTCCCCAGGCCAAGACCACTTTCCGGGCTTCAGTCTCTTTCCTCATCTTGATGGTCCTGTCGATGAGGGAAGTCGCTGGACTCTGTTCTGGCGTCATTATCTGTGACAACAAACACAGAGAAGGGACAAAACCTGTCAGTAAGATTCTCAGTCGGCTCAAGATTACAGGAAAAAAGGAGTAATGCAAACCAAACTATATAAATGGACTTTACCTTTAGCCAGAGCCATTTTTAGCATACTAAAAAAAAAAAAGCAGATTCTTTTTACCAGTAAAAATAGGCAATATTTCTTCGGTGAACTCTACTGTCAGCACTGTCACCTCATTACCGGGGAGCAGCGTCCATCTTCTCCAGTGAGGTGCAGATAAGACGACAGAGACAGATTCCAACCTCATTTTTGAAAAATAACATCCTTAGAAGCGAGAGGCAAAGCTCCTGCCTTCTGCAGGCAAAGGAAGCCAAAGGAAAGGCTTTGCACAGCTCTGCAGTTTTTTACTGAAAATTCCCACTCCTTTCAGTAGGTAACAGAGTATTTTCAGACTGTAAAGCCACCTCCTGAGGCTTCAGTAGATCTCAATGCTCCCTGCACACCTTGCTACCTTTACACCCAGTAACTCCGTATGTGAAAAAACCAACCCTGGTGACTTTTTCTGCTAGCTCCGTTGCCAAAATAGGCTACTGTTCCTTCCTGCCCCTCGCTTAAAAACTTGTCACATAATTCTTCACTAGATGGGAACATAAATTATTTGCTTTTTGGGACAAATACTTCAACTGTACATTACTACCTAAAAAAAAAGAAATACAAACCCCAAATCACATTACCTGCTTCTTACTAGCACAATGATTCAATGGTGAAACAGTTAACATCAGGATTACTGGGAGAATTATACAAGAACACCTTGCCTGGTATTTTTCTGGACAGGATTTTCATCCAGTTTGAGCCCCAAGACTTCCCTTCCCACACTGACAAACGTAGCAGCCCTAAGCAGAGATCCTCTCCCCCATCCTCACACTCCCAACCTCTCTCCCTGAACCACGTCCTCTTGCAAAAGCAGGAGTTGCACTGTTGGGGCACTGAAATCAAAGTGAGATTTGGTCCCATCCTACTCGCTTAGGAGGGCTGGGTGTGTGGTTTTCACCTCCAGACTGAAACATGTCCTCCCATCCGCCCTGCCCTCATCTGCTCAGGCACAGTAACGAAGGAAGGCCTCGCCTTGATAACCCATAAGGCACTGACCCCAGGGCCACACGTGGAGGTCCCCCACACCTCCCCTCGCCCCAAACCCCCCAGCTTCCCCCACGCACGCCCCTGTCCCTCACACAGCCCCAGCTCCCCTTGCCCAAGACCCCACAGCACCCCCCACTCAGACCTCACCATCACAACCGAGGATCCCCAAAGCTCCCCCTGCCACACACGGGGACCCTCAAAGCTCCCCCTGCCCAGACCCTCCTGTCACACGCAAGCAGCCTCCACGTCTCCCCCCAGCCAGCACCCCCACGCCACCCTGGGGGGTCTCTACAGCTTTCCCCTCACCGTTACACACAGCCAGCCCCACAGCTCGCACTGCCCGCACCCCCATCACACAGAAAAGGCCCGACATCTGCCCCCCGTCCTGGCTCCTGTCACACAGAGGCGGCCCCACAGCCCTGTCACACACGGGTTACCCCTACCCCTGCACAGCTCGCTGCCGGACACCGCCCGGCTCTCGGCAGCCTCCCCTCAGAGCCGCCTCCCCGTGCAGGCCCGAGGAGCCAGGCGGCACTGGGGAGGCAGTCACAGTACCTGCCGCAGGGCTGAGGGTCAGGGGACGTGAGGGGGCACACAAATCCCCTCAGGGATCAACAAGGCCAAGGGCAAGGTCCTGCACCTGGGTCGGGGCAACCCCCGGTATCAGCACAGGCTGGGGGGTGAAGGGACGGAGGGCAGCCCTGAGGAGAAGGGCTTGGGGGTACTGATAGATGAAAAGCTGGCCATGAGCCGGCAATGTGCGCTCGCAGCCCAGCAAGCCAACCGCATCCTGGGCTGCATCCCCCGCAGCGTGGGCAGCGGGGCGAGGGAGGGGATTCTGCCCCTCTGCTCCGCTCTGGGGAGACCCCCCTGGAGCCCTGCGTCCAGCTCGGGGGTCCTCAGCATGGGAAGGACATGGCCCTGTTGGAGTGGGGCCGGAGGAGGTCACAGAAATGATCTGAGGGCTGGAACAGCTCTGCTGTGAGGACAGGCTGAGAGAGCTGGGGGTGTTCAGCCTGGAGAAGAGAAGGCTGCGGGGAGACCTTATTGCGGCCTTTCAATACTAAAAGGGGGCCTACAAGAAAGATGGGGACAGACTTTTTAGCAAGGCCTGTTGTGACAGGACAGGGGGTAATGGTTTTAATCTAAAAGAGGGGAGATTTAGACTAGATATAAGGAAGAAATTTTTCACGCTGAGGGTGGTGAGACACTGGCACAGGTTGCCCAGAGAGGTGGTGGATGCCCCATCCCTGGAAACATTCCAGGCCAGGCTGGACGGGGCTCTGAGCAACCTGTTCTGGTTGTAGATGTCCCTGCCCATGGCAGGGGGGATGGACTGGATGGCCTTTAAATGTCCCTTCCATCCCAAAGCATTCTGTGATTCTATGATCTATATGATTCTATATCAGACCGCACATTGCCAAGGTCAGCAGTTACACCTTCAAGAGATTTTGCGGCTCTTTGCACGCTGTAGAGGTGTAACTTCATATTTCTGTTCTGAAATGCTGTAAGTGAAGAGGGTTGCGTGAATATCATGCTAAATTTGTGTATCCAGAAGGTATTATCTGAGGTAAACATGGTCCCATTGGACAGGGTGGCTTTGGGTGACATGCTCGTCTCATAGGTCTGGATGGTAAATGATGCAACATTGTCAGTGTGATGATATTTAAGGCTCTTCAGAGGGCCCTGGCCAGGCTGGATCGTTGGGCCGGGGCCAACTGTGTGAGGTTCAACAAGGCTCAGGGCCGGGTCCTGCACTTGGGGCACAACAACCCCAGGCACCGCTGCAGGCGTGGGG